GGCCCCGTGCTTTAATTGTGTAGGGTAAGCCCCCACGCACACGGGACGTTTATACAGCGGCTGTTTTTGGATTTTGACTTTTTTTTCTACAGCTAGTAAACTCCCCAGCATGTCATCCTAAATGTCCATACACACATAGACTGGAATCAATGTTTTTTTTTGTCAGGGTTGTTTTTTGGCTGGAAAAAAAAACAGTTCTAGTGGGTTTCTAGGTAAAACGCCACTAAACGCAGCAAAACACTAAATCAAAGCTAAAAAAATTCACTTTTTTGGACGTTTATTTGACCCCCCAAAAAATAATTTTTTGGTAAAAAAAAACACTAAAAACTGCAAACGTGGAAAAAACGTGGGAAAACGCTAATGCAAAAAGGCAAATGCAGGAAAACGCCACTAAACGCAGCAAAACACTAAATGAAAACTAAAAAACTCACTTTTTTGGACTTTTTTTGACCCCCCCAAAAAGTTATTTTTTCGTAAAAAAAAAAACGCTAAAAACTGCAAACGCAGAAAAAGGTGGGAAAACGCGGCTAAATGCTAATGCAATAAGGCAAATACAGAAAAAACACGGGGGAAAACGCCGCTAAATGTGGAAAAACACTAAATGAAAGCTAAAAAAACACACTTTTTTGGACTTTTTTTGACCCCCAAAAAATTATTTTTTGGTAAGAAAAAAAAAAACGCTAAAAACTGCAAACGCGGAAAAACGTGGGAAAATGCGGCAAAACGCTAATGAGAAAACACTAAAAGTGAGTTTCTAGAGGAGTTTATTAGCTGTAAAAAATGCTGAAAAATGTGGTAAAACGCCACAAACTGGCGTTTTTGGACCTTTTTTGACCCCCCCCCAAATGTTTTTTTGATTAAAAACGCAAACGCAAAAAAAGGCAGCTAAAAGCTGAAAAAAGCTAAAAAAAACCTTCGGTTTTTAACGTGACTTTACACAGCTAACGTTACCAGCGTTATCAAAACGTCCTGTGTGCGTGAGGACAGGACTAGTGGGTTTCTAGGTAAAACGCAGCAAACCGGCATTTGTGAACATTTTTTGACCCCCAAAAAATTATTTTTTTTTGTAAAAAAAAGACCACTAAAAACTGCAAATGCAGTAAAACGTGGGAAAACGCAGCTGTAAAACTGTAAAAAAGCAGTAAAACGCTAATGCAAAAACGCTTAAAGTGGGTTTCTAGAGGAGTTTTTTAGCTGTAAAAACAATCTAATGCTGAAAAACACGGTAAAAAACACCACAAACCGGCATTTTGGACGTTTCTTTGACCCCCCAAAAATAATTTTTTGAGAAAAAAAATGCTAAAAACTGCAAATGCGGAAAAATGTGGGAAAACGCCGCAAACCGCTAATGCAAAAATGCTAAAAGTGGGTTTATAGAGGAGTTTTGTAGCTGTAAAACACTCTAATGCTGAAAAATGTGGCAAAACGCCACAAACCGGTGTTTTTGGACATTTTTTTTACCCCCCCCCCAAATGTTTTTTTGGTTAAAAACGCAAATGCAGAAAAACGCAGCTAAACGCTAAAAAAACTCTGTTTTTTAACGTGACTTTACACAGCTAATATCACCAGCGTTATCAAAACATCCCGTGTGCGTGAGGACAGGACTAGTGGGTTTCTAGGTAAAATGCTGCAAACCGGCATTTTTGGACTTTATATTATTTTTTGGTAAAAAAAAAAAACGCTAAAAACTGCAAATGTGGAAAAATGTGGGAAAATGCAGCTAAACTCGGCAAAATGCTAAAAGTGGGTTTCTTAGTTTTTTAGCTGTAAAAACGATCTAATGCTGAAAAACACAGTAAAACGCCACAAAACTGCGTTTTTTTGGCTTTTTTTGACGTCAAAAAACGTGCAGGACCCTTTTTTGGTCCGCACTAGAATTGGATTGCATGGGTATTCACACCTATGCGACCCGATTCTGAACATTGCACCGCGTTTTGCGGACCGCTTTTGGGGTGTTGTTACCATAACATACACACCCGCAGCGGTTTGCATGAACTGGGTGCGATTCTGATGCGGTGCAGATATTGCACTGAAAACGCTGCAAATTACGTACCGCATCAGTGTGAACCCGGGCTAAGTGTTTTCTGCTGCGTTTTGCAGTACAGTCCATGTAATATGATTTCCTATGGGACACATTCACATCTCCGCGTTTTCACCCGGTGCGTTTTTTCGTTGTATTGGTCTACCCACATGGAAGAAGAAAAATATATTTGAAATATATTTTAAAAATATTCCTCCCAAATATATTGACATATATTTAAAATACTAAAATTTTGGCCGTATTCAACATATTTCAATAAATAAATAAATATATTTATGGTTGAACTGGATGGACTTTTGTCTTTTTTTTTCAGCCGGACTAAATATGTAACTATATATATATATATATATATATATATATATATATATATATATATATATATATATATATATATATTTTTTTTTTTTTTATTTTATTTTATTTTTTTTTTTTTTTTTTCCCAGTATACAGTGGGGCAAAAAAGTATTTAGTCAGCCACCAATTGTGCGAGTTCTCCCACTTAAAAAGATGAGAGAGGCCTGTAATTGGCATCATAGGTAGACCTCAACTATGAGAGGCAAAATGAGAAAAAAAATCCAGACAATCACATTGGCTGATTTGGAAAGAATTTATTTGCAAATTATGGTGGAAAATAAGTATTTGGTCAACATCAAAAGTTCATGTCAATACTTTGTTATATATCCTTTGTTGGCAATGACAGAGGTCAAACGTTTCCTGTAAGTCTTCACAAGGTTGGCGCACACTGTTGCTGGTATGTTGGCCCATTCCTCCATGCAGATCTCCTCTAGAGCAGTGATGTTTTGGGGCTGTCGCTGGGCAACACGGACTTTCAACTCCCTCCAAAGGTTTTCTATGGGGTTGAGATGTGGAGACTGGCTAGGCCACTCCAGGACCTTGAAATGCTTCTTACGAAGCCACTCCTTCGTTTCCCGGGCGGTATGTTTGGGATCATTGTCATGTTGGAAGACCCAGCCACGTTTCATCTTCAATGCCCTTGCTGATGGAAGGAGGTTTGCACTCAAAATCTCACAATACATGGCCCCATTCATTCTGTCCTGTACATGGATCAGTCATCCTGGTCCCTTTGCGGAGAAACAGCCCCAAAGCATGATGTTGCCACCCCCCATGCTTCACAGTAGGTATGGTGTTCTTTGGATGCAACTCAGCATTCTCTCTCCTCCAAACACGACAAGTTGTGTTTCTACCAAACAGTTCTATTTTGGTTTCATCTGACCATATGACATTCTCCCAATCCTCTTCTGGATCATCCAAATGCTCTCTAGCAAACTTCAGAAGGGTCTGGACATGTACTGGCTTAAGCAGGGGGACACGTCTGGCACTGCAGGATCTGAGCCCCTGGTGGCGTAGTGTGTTACTGATGGTAGCCTTTGTTACGTTGGTCCCAGCTCTCTGCAGGTCATTCACTAGGTCCCCCCCCGTGTGGTCCTGGGATTTTTGCTCACCGTTCTTCTGATCATTTTGACGCCACGGGGTG